ATGGACACACTTCACATACGGTTAGGATTGTTTAGGAGTATGGAGAAATGGGTTTAATTGTTTAGGAGTATGGAGAAATGGGTTTACTCAAGAATCCAAATTTGAATCTTGCACTGGCTTAGCTATACCCTACCTAGGGAGCTACCATGGGCCGAATGGAAAGTTAGTCCAGGAAGCTGAAAGGTATAAATACTAACCAACCGTAAACCATGAAATAGAGCTATGGTAGAGCTACCGCTCCACAGGAAGTAATTCTACCCGATGGTTCGCTTGTTTGCTAGGATCTGGCAGTCTAGTCGGTAGGGATTGTTGTGAACCAGGCAGAAAAGCTATTAGAATAATCGTAATGGTTATACTAGTACTACCTTAGCCAACCCGACACAAGGTCGTGTAAGGTCTAGTACGAGAAGAGTCAAAAAGGTTTGACGAACTCGGCCTAGTTGGCATAAGACCAAGCGGATAAAGGGTAGACATGAGATCTCTTATTCTGTCCTTAGGAAAAATTGGTATCATGAGTTATCCACAATTAATAGATACTTTTACGTTTGTATTTCTACAGAGACGGCTGCCGTATGGCCATAGATGTTGTTATGGGTAACGTAATGGGATAGCCATGCTTACATGGGCCGACCATACGGACAAAGGTATTGTTTGAAATGTTTCGGCTATTGATTGAGAACATAGTATAACGGATATAAGTTTCAAATGGAGTAGATAATAATTGTGAACCTTAGGAGAGTTTAGAGTAGAGGCATACAAATTGGTAGGATAATAGGTTCACAATGCGACCTTTAATTATTGCATATATTCGTGTGTATGGGCACATGTCATCGACTTGTTTGTGTTTTGCCTAAAAAAGTGGCACGAAGACTTGGGAGTCAGTAAGGGGGCGGATCGAGAAGACTCGGGAAGGATCAAGAGTGGTGAAAGTTGGCTGATAGGCTAACTACTATAAGAAGGGTACTCTAAATGTGTCGGTGGACACCTTTGTACCTTAGTAAGTGTGTGGTGAAAGTACTCTGAATGTGTCGGTGGACACTTTTGTACTCCTATATAGGAACTCTGAATGTGTCAAGTGGACACCTTAGTTGCCAAAGAGATTAGAGTGTGTGGTGAAAACTAGGAGGTAGCCGGTGGGCTTGCCTAGTTACTAATATGAGGTGTGAAAGTTAGGCGGTAGCCGGTGGGCCTGCCTAACTACTAATTAGTGGTTGAGAATTGGCACATGGTGCTAGGGCATCATGTCGCGGTAGTGGTAGTTAGGGTAGTTAGGTTGTGTTAGGTCATGAGACGGAGTAGACCGTCTTACTAAGTATTCAATAAGTATCCCCTTACCAGACTTGCAAGATGAGAGATTCGGTCAGGTGGACCATAGGAGGCCAAGGCAGGAAGATGCGGCAGGCGCGGTGAAGACTTCCCCAAGGCGTGGTAGTTTATAGGTCTATATGTTGTATTTCACCGCACAATGTATTAAAGAAATTGTAGAGCAGTGAAATACATAGATTTGATTAACATTGCGGCAAGGATTCATAGTCCTTAGGTCGGTGTTACATTGGGTTTGGATCTTAGGGTTCGATCCGGTATGATGCACTCGAGTGCTTTTCATCTACCACTTTTGTCTTTTTATGCTAGTTGTTCGATAATACGGCTTTGCGCCGCTAAGCCTTGCCTTTATCGTATTGGTGGCAGCGTCTAACGTGGCGAGTCTGGCGTTGGATGCTCATCGGAATCAGATTTTTTGCTTTAATCGTTCCTTGGGCGGAACCACTTGCTTTTACTTTGACACGTACCACTTGCTTTTACTTTGACACGTATAAGGTGAAAGTTTCACGCCTAAAGAAAGAAATTCATACGATAATCGATTTCATGATACGAAAACTCGGGCATCGTGCGCTGCTCCCCGGGAGTTGTCGTTACCTGTACAACTGACCACTCAGTTTTTGACCCATATCATCATGGCCACGACCCAAGACGAGTATCGGTTACAGGTCCATCAAGTTATTTGCATCACTGTAGATTAAGACCTATATACCTCTAGAATTGGTATGGAAGAACTGACAAATGACGATAATATTTTTGCCTAAATTAAAAAAAAGGACCATTTTATCTCCAATCATATCTATTAAAAATTGACAGTTTGTCAATTATAAATACCAAACAACTAGAAAAATCAAAATTTTATTCACTAAATTAAATAAATTTGTTAATATAAACATTAACTACTAGTATATAATTCCAATAGAAATATCTAGGATATATTATATCAAATATATGTGTTTATCTCAAAAACAAAACCAAAAAAATCTTCTTCTTTATCTTTACTACTTGAATGTGATACCCATAAACTGTATTATTTGTGTTTAAACTAGATATTTAAAACTATAATTAATAAGCCAAAATCAAATATCAAAAACAGTAATTTGTTATTGTAAGATTTCAAAGCTAAAATTTTTTTTTTTTAAATCTGGGGGTAATCCAGGCTTTATCCTCCCAGATGATTGTAGCCGTCGAGTATCCCATTCACTAGGTTTTTTAATGGGTTTAAAGCATGACAACATTTCGATTAGCCAAATGGTAATGGTTAGATAATTTCGTGCTTGATGGGAATTGAATTTTAGGGTATACCCACATAGCAATTCTTCTCTAAATAGAAACCATTAGTCCACTACCACGTGGTTGACACTAAAAATTTTATGCATAGATAAACATATTATCCTAACATGTAAATGTAAATACAAACAACCGTCAGAACAAAATTCAAGGCTAGATTTACTGACTAGCCTCTACACGTCGTCGTCCCTATCTTGACTAATAACAATGAGAATCTTAGAATCGATCTATATAGAAGGATATTTCTTTATAGCAATAAAAATGTAAATTATAAAATTATATGATTTGAGAACATAATATTTAACAATTTCAAAAGCACCAACACTAAAGTAATATGTTGTTGAATAATCAATGATTTAAAGAAAGGTTTTCAGCAAATAAATTGTGGTTAGGA